AGCTCTGCAAAGCAGGTCTCTTTTCCTTTCTCTTGATTAGCAATTGTATAACAATGTATGCCAATCCGTCTTCCAAGTCTGCATTTCTATGGATATCATGAATTAACAGAAAAGCCAAACATGGTACAAGATGTGAAATATGACAGTGCTGTGAAATGACAAAGGATAGAACTTTTCATTATTATTATTACATGCTTTCATGATGGAGAAAAAAGGATCTGCTGCCTGTGCGCTGTTTGGGCCCTTGACTGGGGAATAAATCTCATCCCAAGTATTTATTAGTCCATGACCTTGTAAGCATGAACTTGCCAACTTCATTCCCAGTGCAGCTCCACTCACAGTGATGAAGTTGTGTGTGTGTGTGTGTGCTGCAGGACTGGAGCTTCAAAGGATGAAACAGGTAAAGGGCTTCACAGCCTACACTGATCTATGTTCCTGATTGTATTCTATAGCTAGGAAACGAAGGCAAAGATGACTTGAGGAATCACTGACAGGGGTTCACAAAGTCACTTCCTTCATGTGTGCAAGTGCAGCTGGTTCAACTGCTAAGTTCTGAGGAGTCATCAAATAATTTCTGATTTTGGGGCTGCAGACCTCGTTCTCCAAGGCTACTGATCTCAGAAATGGGGCATGAGCATGTGGGCTGCATATGATCAAGTCATAGGATTTTAATAAAGCACTGTTCAACACTAGGAGTGAGTAGCAGCCCACGTGTGTGCCCCTGGGCTGTGAAGTGAAATTCATTAGCTACAGTCACTTTCATAAGCCATTGCTTCTTGACTGTGTGCAATCACAGGCCTGTAAGGGGTGTATGTGTTGTATAGGTGCTGAGTACACTTAAGAGACAAACTGAGTTGTGATCTTAGGTTTCCTATCCAGTCCATTAAATGCAAAGCCATCATTCTCTACTGTTGGTTATAAGAGCTTGGTTAGTTTTTTTTGCCTGCTAACTGCTTGGCATCCTATTGACAAGAGTATCATTCTCACTCTGTTGTCCAGAAATGTTATCCCCAAATTTATCATCAGCTTTGGTAGTGGGGTTTGGGCACTCTGGGGAATTTTTAGAAGACCAAAGATCCAGAATGGGCTCTGCAGATGGAATTCTACTTTGATTATCACATTAATTTTAAAATGATGATAAAATTAATTATGTTTTATATTACTATCTCATTAAGATTCAGTAATAAAAGGAGATGATAAGAAGGTTACTCAGCAGAAATGTGGGTACTTTTGTGGAAAGGTAATAATCCATCTGTCCTTGAAGTGTTGTTCTCAATAAAAAAAGAATCCAAATATGATAACTGTGGCTATCAAGTGTCACCTGTTCTCTATATTGCCTGAGACACTTTTTTCTGCAGTTTAGCTGTATAAGTAAAATTTAAGCAACACTGGCAGAATCCAGCAAACAGTACATTTTGTTGTAAGCATGTAAATGATTTCATTACAGCTTTGCAGATGTTAAAAATTAACCGTGGCAGGCGGTGAAGACAGATGGATAAAGCACTTGAAAGAGTTAAGAATCCTGAGCTGTAGTCTCAGCAGTTTGCCACTCACTGATTCATTTAATGTAAAGCCTGAGAAAGTAGATCTTGACTTCAGGAGCCATTTCCTGAAGCTTCCACATACTTCACTCTTGTTTGAAACAGAAAGAAACAAACTGTAGAGTCTAGGAAAATCCAGCAAAACACTCAGGTGCCTGTCTTATCTTTTCTTCCAAAGTGGCATCTGAAAAGTATGGACCTAACTCAAGGCCCAGCTTAGCTCATCCCATAAGTAAGAATTTAGGGGGGAAGGCATCAGGGTTTCACTGAAAGGTCACAGTGAAGGCAGTGCCCCCTGGAGGACAAGGTAACATGAAACTTTTTATTTTGAGAGAAGTCTGGTGAATCATTTTGCTAAAATGCAGCCAAGGGGAGCAGAGACATACTTGTGGTCACCCAATTGTGAGGGACCATCTGCACTAGCTTAATGTTCTTAAGTCCATGAGGCTTGATGGTATTCATTTCAGAGTAAAGGAATTAATGGATGTTGTAGCTGGACCCCTCTCAACAAATTACCAAGGTCTTGGTAGTCTGGGAACATCCCTGCTGACTGGAAGCTAGCCAGTGCTATAAACAACTACAAAAGATACAGAAGACTCAGGAAACCACAGACCTGTTTTGCTAACCTCAGTCTTTATAAAAAATACAAAGAATATTGTGCTGGGGGTATTGAAAGACGTTTGAAGAACAGAGCTATTATGAGGCATAGTCAACATGGGCTCATTAAGAGCAAGTCCTGCCTTAGTAATTTTATTTCCTTCTATGATAAGGTCACCTGCTTTGCGGATGAATGGAAGACAGCGGACATAATCTTTCTGGATTTTAGTAAGGCCTTTGATATTCTCCTTCATGGCATCCTTCTGGACAACCTGTCTGTTGTGGAAATGCTGAGTGATGGCCTGAAGCAGTGATTGAACACCTGGTGGGAAGGCAGGGCCAACCCAAAGGAGCTCAGGTGCATGCACTGCAGCTAAGTGACCAGAAGGAATGTAATCAGGATCCACCCCTTCCCACTCCTCATTTAAGGGTTGGCAGAGGAGGTGAGGATATTTCTCTGGAGATCCCTGCCTACCTGAGGCCTTCTAAAGGTAAGCAGTATTCCTTCATTTCAGTGTCCACAGCTGCTGTACTTGGGCTTGTTCTCGTTTGCTGCAGCTTAGGATTGTGCCACTCTACTATTATTGCTGTACTTTTGTAAACATAATAGCATTACACTGTCCAATGGTGAGACAAACAGATGTATGCTGTGCTAGGGAGTAAACTGGATCAACAATGGAGTTCTGAAATTTACAGTGAATTGGTCTACGTCTATCTGGAAGATGATAGTGCAAGTCTAGGGCCAGTTTGTTCAATGTTGTTGTCAGCGATCTGGGTGTAGGAGTTAAGTGCATCCTCAGTGAATTTACTGATGGTGCTAAACTGAAAGGTGCTATTGACTCCCTCGAGAGGCAAGAGGTCTTGCAGAGCGATCTAGATAGATTGGAGCACTGGGCATTTATCAATGGCGTGAAGTTCAATGACGGAAATATGCTGAGTTTTACTCCTGAGACAGAGCAATGTCAGACACAGGCACAGTTGGAAAAGGAGTGGCTGGAGAGCAGCTCAGCAGGAAGGTTCCCGGGGGTGCTGGTGACAGCAGGCTCACTGTTGAGCCAGCAGTGTGCCCTGGCAGCCACATGGGTAAACCTCCCTTGGAGGTGCAATAAACATAGCATGGCCAGGTGGCCGGAAGAGCTGATTATCCCGCCGTACCTCTAGCAATGGTGTGGTCTCACCCTGAGTGCTGTGTGCAGTTCTGGGCTCCACATTACAAATAGGATGGTAAGGTCTCAAAAGCATCCAAAGGAGAGCAACAAAGCTGGTAACAGGGTTGGAAGGCATGTGCCGAGGAGAGACTGAGGACACTTGGACTGCCCAGTCTGGAGAAGGGGAGGCCAAGAGGTGACCTCTCTGCATCTCCCTGGGGAGGGGAATGGAGAGAGAGTTACCTGGCTCTACTCCTAGAAACTGGGTGGGAACAGCACAAGCTGTGCCATGGGAGGGGTAGAGTGGACATCAGGAAAAATGCCTTTGCTGTGAGTGTGATCAGACACTGGAACAGGCTTCTTAGAGAGGTGGTTGATGTCCCATGTATATCACTGTTCAAGAGGCTTTTGGATGATGCTTTCATTAATTTTTAACTCTTGTTTAGCCCTGATGAGATCAGACAGTTGGACTATGTCTCAAGGTCTTTTCCAACAGAACTGTGCTATGCGTATGCTATGCTATTCTGAAGTTTAGCTAAAAGGTTCACGGTTCCTGCAGCACTGTGGTGCATGCTCCTGAAGATTATGTGGTAGCTTCAGGTAACTTTGAAAGTAAAAGTTCTTAGTAACTCAGAATAGTGTCCTTAGTGCTATTTAATTTCAGACACAAATTCAGTTTAACTAATGTCCTAGATTTGCATTGCAACACTTAATCTAAATCTGAATGTCTCGGTATGGATCATGAACTTACTGGGGATACACAAACAATACTAGCAGCTGCAGACCAAATCAGCTGGATCGTCGTGCTCAAAGATCTGCAGTCAGTGGTTTGATGTCTAGGTGGAGGAATGTAACAGGAGTCTGTGTTGGGACTAGCACTACTGAACATCTCTTGTTGACATGGACAGTGGGGCTGAGTGCACACTCAGCCAGTCTGCAGCAATAATGATAGGACAAGGAGTGATAGTTTTGAACTGAATAACTGGTGATTCAGGTTAGATGTTAGGAGGCAATTCCTTACTCAGAGGGCAGTAAGGCCTTAGCACTGCTGTCCAGAGAAGCTGTGTATGTGGGATGCCCCACCCTATCCCTGGAGGTGCTCAAGGGCAGGTTGGATGGAGCCCTGGGTAGCTTGAGCTGGTGGGGGCAGCCACACCATGGCAGGGTATTGGGCCTGAGTGGGCTTTATGGTCCCTTTCAGCTCCAAACTGTTATGTGATTCTGTGAGCAGGGCTTCTGAGCAGTGAGGAGAGTATATTAGTTATGAGAAATTTCAGCATGTGTTCTGCTCAGATCCACTGGAAGAGCAGAGCTTCAGTACATAGCAGCATCTTTGTGGTATCTGTCCCAGCAGATGCAGAATGAAGGAGAGAGACAGTGATGAATAGGCCCATGTGACTGTCCTCCCAGAAGCATTGGGCACAGTGCACATGCCAGGGAGTGACTACTCTTGGCTTTGGTTTGTGGTGGTGGTGTTTTTTTTAAACACATGGAGTCAATTCTGAGTCTCACCAACTGCCTTGTTTCCCAGTGTTTTGGAAGCCACCATTCCCTAGTGGGAAGCAGGAAGGAACAGTTACATTCTTGCTTTCATTTGCAAGAACTTTCTGTTGCCTCCATTTTTCATTACTGTCTGCATGTTGCAATGCCTTATATGAAGAAATATATAGTATAGCAGCAATTTTGTATTATGTGTCAGTAAATAGGCAAAAAATTGTTCTGAATTGAACATTTATTTTATAAATGTAATTTCAAATGACTGTGTGTTGCAAACTGCCACCCAGCACATTCAGCAATACTGCCTCGCTATCAGAAGACATTATTCTGCTTCCAAATTTGATTTGTGTGAGAAGAGACTCTCTTATAAATTACAATTTAGGTTTAAGTGTTGACTCATTTTGCTATTGAATTCTCTTATTCTGAGCCTGCATCACTAAATTATAAACTTTCAGAAGTTATACAACCATTATGTCTCACTGCACAGTCTTCAGAAAATAGGGTTTCTATTTCCTCCACTAGAGTTTGCTTGTTTAATTTTGGCATTTTGTTTTTTCATGAAAATGTTAACAGTACAATCTCAGTCTCCCTTCTTCCCATTTTATATAGTTATGCTGTTTTAAAAACAGTTATGCCTAGCTTTTTTATTTCTATGACTTTCTGTCAAATACTTCAAATAACTTTTTATCAAATAAATACTGCAGCCTGCCATTTTAAACTAACTAAAAACACTTACCTTCTTAAATTGATTTACTCTACTTAGATCCTTTATACTTTCGTACTGCACAGTACTGAATTCAAATGTTAAAAAATCACATGCTTATCTTTATTTTGTGTTACACTACGTTGCCTTATATATCTCCAATCTGGTAGTAGATTACAACTTGTAAAGCTGCTGTGTTAGCTTTGGCTTGTTGTTGTCATTAGCCAATAAATAGGAATGACATAATTTCTCTCAGCTTACAAAAAAAGGTATATGCTGTTTGCAATGGTTAGCATTAGTATGGCAATTAGGAAGTAAGGAAGACAGGTGAAGAATTTGATACTTGGTTCTGAGGCTATGCATCATGTTACAAATTCCAGGATAGATCAAGTTACAAATTACGCAATTGGAAAAAATAGTATTGAGTGTAGGTCTATTTTTAAGGTTAGGGGGATTTATGAAGCTTATGATAAATGATAGAGTTTTGGATGGAAGTGATGTGGGCTGGTAGGGTGCTTCATTGGGTTACTAGTAATATATATAAAGCATAAGTGGCACTCAGCAGGGCTGAAATTCCAGTTAGAACAATTGTGAAGGCAAATCAGTGAAACAGCACAATTACAATGGTTAGTTCCTCTTTTAGGTTTGTTGTAGAGGGCAGTGCCATGTTTGTCAAATGGCTAGTAGTCACCATGTGGCTTTAAGTCTTGGAGGGGTTGTAGGCCTCATGTAAGGATGAGGATATAGCCATGTATTCATTCATAATTTGTTTTGGATAGGCAAAATGGTAGGGAGGAGTTAGATTCATGTGAGATATTGGTTTAATCTCGAGTATGGCATCACTAGTCTCCACACTAAATGCTTGAGAAACTCAACAAACAATCTACCCCACCAAACACGTACTCTCCCCCTCCTGGGCTTAATTCTAGCTGCTACAGGAAGGTCAGCCCAATTTGGCTGACCCTTGACTCCTTGCAGCAACAGAAGTGTAAATCCTAGTTTCCACTCTACTGCAATAGTAGTAACCAGAATCTTCTTGCTTATTCATACTCATCCCCTTCCAACCCCTAACAAAACAGCCCTAGCCATATGCCCGTGTTTAGGTGCACTCTCAGCCCTCTGCCACCAGGTGCCCTCACTCAAAACAGCATAAAAAAAAATCATTCCTTTCTCCACCTTCCGCCAGCTAAGCTTAGTAATAGCCATCATTGGACTTGATCTCTCACAGCTAGCTTTCCTTCACGTCTCAACCCATGCCTTTATAAATCCCTTCCTAATATTAGCCTTATTCTCCCCTAAACTCTTAAGGGACCCATAAAACTTCAGCAACCTCACTAATCCCACCCCCTCACATCAAACTAGAGGGGTGATTCCTATTTGTGTATGTCATCCTGAGCTCAATTCCAGACAAACTTGGAGGAGTCCTAGCATTAGGCACCTCCATCTTAATCCTATTTCTTGCTCCTTTCCTACATAAATTCAAACAATGAATATTAACATTCTGCCTTCTTCCTATGGTTAAGATCACGTGTCTACTGGGCCGTGCTACATGTAAAATTTGACAAGGTCATTTTCAGCAACAACCGCAGGCAAGGGAGAGGTTGGGAACAGCAGAAGTAAAACCAAGAGGGAATTTTTAGACTTAATAAGATAGTTTCCTTTGCTTTGAGGAGAGGATTTCTTTTTTTCTAGTCTGCAGCTGTATGGATGAGAGATCCATAGGCCAAATCACTCAGTGTGTTTGCTATTGTATGCTTTTATTTGCGCTTGTTGGGAGCACTTTGACTTCTCCTTCTCTGGAGATATTCAAGACTTGTAAGGACACCAACCTGTGTGACCTGTTGCAGGGCACCTGCTTTGGCAGGGGGCTGCATTCAATGATCTCTTGAGGTCCCTTCCAACCCCTGCAATTCTGTGATTCTGTGACTTTATTTCACCTTCCTTCTACTTCAAGCCAAGTCTATCAAACTTTGGCTGTGTGGTTTATATACAACTTTTCTGGCAGGAATTCAAGACAAATTTGAAGAAATACCTTTGCCTGGTCACATACCATACAACTGGGATTTAGCACATCTCATCCCAAAACAGTTTGAAGGTCACAGACTTCTGCCTGGCACCCAGGTACAGTTCTGACAGCTATTGCTTTCAGCATGGGTTTAGCATCATCAAACTTGTCAAACTTAGCATATAAGTGGCTCTTGGAACCTGCAGGCAGCCCATTATGGAGAATGTATCTTATTAACAAAGGTGATATTAGAAACTCACACAAGTAACTAATGGCATCGAATGCAAAGTACATCAATATGCTCAGAGACTGGTGAGCGATGTTTTCCAATTAAGGCAACTGTTTGACCTTCTGAACTATAAATAAACTGTCAGAGTCCCTCATCTCAGAGACTGGCTTTTACTGCAACACTATGCCATAGAACTCGGATGTACTTACAAGGCTAATTCTGGAGCAATCTAATGGATGGGGTGAAATTTTAAACACTACTGCCTCAGAGAAAAGCATTCTCAAATTTCTGCAGTATTGGCAGAGTTGCACGCCTTGGAACAAAGAGCACCAGCACAGAGTGGGTACCACATTCTTCAGTGGAACTGCATTCACCTGAGGCAAACCACTTTGCTTATACAAACACTGAGAAGATGTGGATTTTTTTAATGGCAATAATGTGAAAATGTAATAGTTCCTAAGGGTTGCTGAACTATTTTCCCGGTTACAACCTTAAATGATTTACTGTTTCTAGACATCTGATGCATGTTTAGATTCTCAGTGGGAAGTTCCACTTGCAAAGGAAGACTGAAGTTAGTGGAAGTCAGACTTTTCTTCCCTGTTTCAGAAGTGTACTATTTCTCTTTCTCTGGGACAGACCAGTTGTTTTGGGTGGCATACATGCCTTGAACCCTACTCTGGATATAAGCACAATTATTCAAATAATGTACTGGTGTTTTAAAACCTCTTCAAATGCCAGTAGTTTTTGAAAAAGAACACAGAGCTAAGATGTGGCACTTTGCATCAGATATAGAAGGATGGATGGCTCTTCTCGGTGCTGACTGACCTTGTGCAGAGTCTTTGATGTCTGTTTGTCTTCATTTCTTCTATTGGTACTCTAAACTGTTCTAAGAATGGTACAAGAAGGAGCATTAGAAGGGAGAAACTCTATCATATTTGATAGCTATTTCTGCTGTGTCAGCTCCTGCCAGCTGAAAACAGAGATCCTGTGTTCATGGCAGCAGCTTAAAGATACTTAAATAAAATGGGAGGCACAGACAGCATCCAGAGATGATAGTTTTGCCTAGTGTCTGAGTTGTCTCACTGCATATCTAAAGATGCCTTATATATCCACGTAATGTCTTGCCCTCATACTTGTTTGGGGGGGGGGAGGGGAGGGGAAGGGAAGGCAATTAATAACACCAGTTCTGTCACTGAAATCAGGAATAAAACTCATTAATGCTAATGTAGCATTAAAAAGCAGGCATTTGTTATTGTGACCAGATGCACGGGATCCACCTAGCGTGCATAGCCAGGAACTAAAAGTATGCAGATTATATATATTGAACATGTGTGAATATTCATGTATTTTCCATGGAGTGCCTGCCTATTTCAAGAATTGCTATATTAAAATCTAATATTATGCATGCTCTGTGTTAGTATGGGGTCCTTGTAAGGGGCCTGTGGTTAATTAATTGCCAGGTATCAATTGACCCCTTGGGAAGTAGTTAGTTCTTCTAATTACTTTCACATATTTCTTTCAAAATATCTTTTAATACATCTTCTACAGAGTCCTCTACCTCTTATAATTACCACTATGCAGATGCTAGTGACATTGCACATCCCACCAAATCCTTGTATTAATGTTAAAACCATATTTTCACTTTCATATTAATTCCCTCACTTTAAATAAATGCATTACTTATCATTATAAGAAACATAGAACCTAGTCTTATACAGCCTGAGTTAATTGCAAATGCAATGGTCCTTCTTTCTTGACAGTCTATCCTGATGTTGCAGGTGGCTTGACTCTACTGTAATGAATACATAGGCTGACTCCATTGAGTCTGACTGCTGCGTGGATGGTGAATTAGATCGGGAAGGGTCCTCTCCACTTCTCTTCATCTAGCTATGTTGTCGGGTACACCCAATCTCCAGGTTGGTACCAGTGTACAGGTCCATCCAGCGGTAAGCGTGCACGTACAACATACCTGCAGAGAAAAGACAAAACACTTCTCAAAGACATCACATATTCTTTAGCCTTTTGTTCCTCAAGGAGGCGAATATCACCTCCCTCTCTTATAGATTCCCATATGAAATCTCACAAAGACCAACCATAGAATGGCTGGAGTTGGAAGGGACACGAAGGGCCATCAAGTTTCAACCCCCTGACACAGGCAGGACCACCAACCTCCAGATATGGTACTAGACCAGACTGATCTTTTCTTTAGAAGTGGACCTCATCCTGATTCTTAGTAAGGCAAGTAAGGCACTTGGCCATTTTAATTTTGATTCTTGGCATATTTTGCCTATTTGGCTTTTTAAACTCTGATTCATTCTTTCTATGTTATCGCAAGACTGAGATCTCCTCAGAGCATGGTGATTGCATTTTAGCATAATTCTAGCAAGGTTTTGCACTATTTCTGTGATGAAATGTGGATCTGTATCTAAAGATATCCTTGCAGGTACCCCAAATCTGGGTGTAATTTCTTTTAATAAAACCTTTACTACTTCAGGAGCTCTGTAGGTATAACAGGGAAAAGCATCTGGCCATCCCGAGAAAAAGTATCTACTAGTACCAGTATGTTACCCATACTCACATCACCGCAGCAATCCACAAAAATCCATCTGCTGATAATCTCCTGGATGCTTTCCTTTCTTAGCTGTTCTGAGTGGAGGTTTAGGTGGATGGGGATTGTTTTTCAAACGCAGATCGCATCTTTTCACAACACTATGATTCCTGCCATTCACACACTTAAACTTGGTGTCTCATACTTCTGGTGGTTGCCTCTATTCCCCAGTGCGTCAATGATAATCTTCTGCCAGTCTTATTCATAAGAGATTGAGGGATAATTGTCTATTTATCTGGAGCTACCTACCACACTTTGCCATCTTTAACCACTTTTCATAATGTTGCCAGTCTCTCATCTTTAGCTTGGTAATCTGGGGTTTCTTTTCCTAATTATTTATATTTGTCCGCGATTAGTAATAAGAGTTCCTTCCATGGCTACTTCAGCAGCTCTATTGGCAAATCAATTGCTGTAATTCACTGGAGTGTTATTGAACTGATGTGCTTTACAATGCATTATGGCAACTTTCTGAGGAGGCAGTACACTTTCCAGTAATTCTATAATAATGGGTCCATGCTTCATTTGTGATCCCTGGTAGGATAGCAATCCTCTTTCCTTCTGTATTACTCTACGTGCATGCACTACTTCAAATGTAAATTTTGAATCATTCCATATGTTGACTTTTTTTCTTTTTAGTAGTTCCAGTGCTCTCAATAATCTGTCTCTGTGCCAGAACTCCCAGGGCACTATGCAGCCTTTCATGCACAAACAGTTTGAATATTTTTTCTTGACCAGTCTGGAGTTCAGCTACAGTTGTACAATCACACATTTGGTCCACCTTGATCATCCTGAGGTTCCTCCAGCTCATAACAATAGCATTACCATGTCTTCTACTTCCTCAGCTATTTCAGATTCAGAAGGTGATTCCTGTAACACAGAGACCTGGGCCTCTATGGCTTTGTCCTTAGGGATATGTACTTGAATTTTTCTGTCTACAGGTGTAATTTGTTCATAACTTCTTTACTATATCTCTATCCAGAAGCAGACATATTTATGCCACATTCAGGCCTAAACAAGAACTGATGAAACAATGTTTTAGTGCCTGCCTATTCTCAGAATTGCTATTCATACTAGAATTTCATGCTATATATGCACTGTGTAATATGAGGTTCTTGCTAAGGTTCTTCGGTGGCTGGTGTGGTTCCACTGGAAGGTGCTATCCTGCCAAAAGGTCACATGCAAAGTAGGTCAGCTCCCCTGTTTGATGAAGAAACTGTTTACAAAAAAGTCAGGTGCTCACTAAGCTTCTAGTTTTCACAACAACTTTGTTATGGTGCCTATTTTAACAGCTCTAGCAGGGTGCACAGCTTGTGGAATGCTGAGACTTTACTTTTCGGTTTACTTAGGAAAAACAACCTTCCCTAGGCAGAATGTCAATGTACTGAAGACTCTAAATTAATTGTTGAAGACTGAATTAATTGCCAATAACATAGCATTTACTATTATAAGTACTTCAGCAGTGGCTAATACAAATGCACATAAAATAGGAAGCTATATGAACTTCAGACTTCCAGGCAAAATCCCAGAAGTCAGTGGTCCTCACCAATACATCACCAGCAATCTTACCTGAATAGAGGGAAAAGACAGAAGAACATCAGCGTTGTTTTAGAAACGAAAAGAAAATGAGATTTTAGTCTGCCAAAGTTTTAAGTACTAGAAAAAAAAAAAATCAGTTTTTTTCTTTCTTGTCAGTGTTGTTACTCGTTTCACAAGATTCCAACATAGTAACATTTCTTCATTGCAGTGATCGCAGTGATGGGATCGCAAAATTCTCCCTCCTGTGAAAGACACACATGCAGTGCATGAAGTAGAGCACTGTGTCCTATTCATTACAGCACTGTGACTTTCCACCAGTGCTTCAAAGCCAGACATGAGAAGAGGCATGTAAAGAGCAAAAATTAATGAAGCACAGCACACTGCAGGTAATTTACAAGCACTTAAGTTGCTTCTTTAGTTGCTTACAGCTTTGCCTTGCACCTTTGTGCTTTGACCCAAGCATACTTATCTTTTGCTGTGATCTTGCTGTGATAAGGATATGAATATCCAAGGCTTCAAAACCTGTTACACCAGAAATAACAGAAAAAAGCACTAGAAGAAAAGAGAAGTGGAGCAATACCTCACATAGGCTGAGGAACAGTCTTGTCCTGTGTTTTCTCCTGCTTTTTTGCATTCATGTAAGCTGCAGGAAAGAAGAGTCTGAAACTTGGGGGAGGTGGTAGAAGTGAATTAAATAAAGAAGAGCATAGTTAAGTTTCAAGCTATCTCCTGATCTGCCTGGTTATGTCCTTTGATATAGTCTAGTGAACTGATTAAAGAAATGGGATATGCTGAAAATTGGTCTGCCCCTGGGAAAAAAAAAAAATAAATAAATTGAAGTGTTCTAGCTGTTTATTCAAACACAGAAGTGCTGTCGTAATCTGTCTGTTAGATATGAATTCAGTAGCTCAAAAATGTTTTACCACAAGATCTTATTCTTTGCAGGATAGCAGGCACAGACCAGCAAGCATTAACAGAAATATTCTATCTCCCTCCTTCTGCCTTTCAAGCAGGCAGATTAACTAAACGTTTACTGAAGGATGCACATTAATTAATTGGAGAGCAATCAAACATCTTTTGTCGTACCTTCTTTCAGACTGATAATGTGTGACTAAGAAGAAAAGTGAAACTATAAATCAGGAAACCATTTACCCAATGCTCAAGTGCAGTGGTTGTGCACATAGTTTGTTACAATACTCCCACTAGGTACAGCTCATTGAATTCTGCCTTTGAAATGCTCTAACAAGAAAGAATTGATTGTAGGCTGCTGTTCTTTCTCTGGCCCTCTTGCATTGTATCCAGACAGAATGAAAAATGAAATCTCATATGAAATGGTATTTTGACCTGGAGGAGTCAAATAAAAATCAGATCTTTTATGCCACAGATGTGTCCATATTTGCCATAGCAGGTACTGGCCTTTCACTCAATCAGAGACTGTGTGGTAGTTTTATTTGCAGTTGCTCATAGTTTTAACATATTCCTTCGTTCCACGCCATGTAGACAGCTAGTCTTTGAAAATGAGAACTGATGATGCTTTAACAATGTCTTCCATGATAAAAGGAAGGTCCTTCACTGTGGGAAGAAAAAGCATTAGCAAGGCTAAAGAATTTATTTTATAGAAACCATCTTTGCTCTTTCAATAGTATAATGGATCTAAATGGTTGGAGCAATTTACCTTTTTGGTACTGGTGATATCCAAAGGTGACAAATGGAAACAGCATGCAAACTCTTTTTAGAACTAAAATCAATAGTCCATGAAGTGCCTACTAAACAGGAGGTACATTACATTATAGCTTGCAATCTTTCTGCAAGAAGGAAAATGGATTACACTGGTCAGTTTGATGGTTATTTGACATAGTCGCTCCTCCTGTTGTTAACTCTGACAGTTAACAACTCTTGGATTTAACATCTGTAAACATTTCCAATTAGGACAATGAATCTGTCAGCCAATTAGCAGTGCGGATATGATGTTATTCCTGTTTCTCACAGCTCATGAGATTCCTTTTCACAAGTATTAAGGATTAGTTCATACATTTGCTGTGTTGCCAATGCCAAATCTATTGATTTTTGATTCTTTAGCTGATAGTTCAGGAATTACAGGTGTTTGTTTTTACAATTTTTCCATCAAGACTGTGACTATAAGAAGGAAACTACTAGCCCCAGTTCTCTTCTCATGCTACTCACCTGAACTGAAAGGAAAACCATACTGTATTGTCCATAAGTGCCATTTCTAAACCTATTTACACTTCTAAGATAGAAACCCAGATGCCAGAGGGCATCAGAGAGAGGGAAATCTGTATCACTGATTCAGGTCACCACAGTCATGGGTAGAACATGACTAAAGTGTTAGGACAGAAATATTCTTTATCCTAGCCTTTCTTTAGACCTGTGTATTTTCTTTCTTGCATAAAAATTTAGTGGAAAAAAATATTCTTGTCATCTTAGCATGCAGAATTAATTAACCCACTGATTAGCCACCACTTTAAGGATCTAAAATCTAGTATGAGGTGAAGAAACCAGATTATAAAATCGCAAAGACAAACAGAATGAGAGCTGGTAGATGCTGCTGAAAATGGACGAGACCTAGCTATCCAGACTTTCAAATATAAAGTAGAAGATTTAAAGTTCATGTGAGGAAGGATGAGGATGAACCAGAACAGTTAGCAAATCACAACAAAAAAGCCCCACAGAAGTGGAACAGGCTTGGCCTCAGTTTTAAGACACCTGAATAGATTGTGCATGTCTTCCCACTGGTCTTTGGGCAAAGTCAAGACATCTGCTGCTTTCTCCCAACTTCATTTTTAATAAGAAAAGGAACAGGCACTCACCTCCACTGAAACCAAGTTTGCATAGAAAGAAATAGAGGTCTGTCAAAAGTTTTCAAGAAACCACAGATAGGGATGAATGATGTTTTGTACAGTCCATCGTCTTAACGGTTTCAATCAGCTACCACATGTACCACATTTTCCATCTTCTCTATCTTGCCTTTCATGTAGTCATGGGGATCTCCCCATGATTTGTGGAGTGAATCAGGCACCTCAAGCAGACAGTAAATCCAGTAGGTAACCTGCCTCCTAAACCAGAGGAACCACAACACATCTGCATTGTGTAGATACAGACTATATAGTATTTGAGAACACGATCCACTGGCAGCGTGACTCAGACATGTCAGAAACACTTGCTGAAGAAGCAAAGTCCACCTGAAAAAGAAATCCAGGCTTCAGTTTATGCCCAAGGCTGGTAATCAAAGATGGTAATCCCAGAACAGATTCCTTTATGCTTGCAATGGGAAGAAATACATTCTTTCATAAGATGTCATTACAGAAACAATGATATAACCATTGCCTTTTACTTTCTCTTTCCTTGTGGAAAGTTTTCCTATTTTATAATAGTTTTGACTGGAAGATTACTGTCTGTTATTAAATTTCAAATTTCACAGCTACAGCTAAAGCTGTAGATTGCACTTCTCCATGTCCTCTGCTAGACACCTTAGTAATCACTTTGAAGAGACAGAAACCTGCTGGGCTGCATGGCTTTGCTTTCCAAGATTTCAAAGAAGGTCCCTCCCAGCTTTGAAGTCATTCCTTTGCTGAAGTCATTAGCAGAGAAGATGGACAGCAAAATAACTTCAGATGTAAGATGTTACACCATTAACAACAATCCTCACACAATGGGTTGGGTGAAGTCAGGAGGGGGCAAGGGACAGAGCATTAAATATCACAGCTAGTGCCCATGTTAGTATAGCTAGCATGCATTGTTCTATGGAGACTCCATAACTACTAGAGTATGTGGGAATTAAATTAGGGATACACAGATTTTAAAGAACTGAAAGGACCCTTCAGTCCATCTTTCTATGTTCACAAATCATAACATTTCATATTGAGGGTTTGGAATCAGTTGTTGAGCTCTTATTTGTTCATATTTCTTCTACAATGGGGAAGTCTGGAATCAGTTGCATTTGTAGGTCTCTTCCTCAATCCATAATCTGACAGCTTTTGTTCTTGAAAGTGAAAAGAACTAATATTTTCAAATCCAACAGAAATTTAACTCAGGAAAAAGCACTCTTAACTTGTACCAAAGAAACATTTAACAAGAATGATAACCTACTGCAAACCTAATTCCAACTACACAGATGTCTATTTTCAGCTTCAGCTGCAGTCTTGGGGAGTTGTGTGGGATATTTCCCTGATTTTCCTTTAATCAAAAGCCAATTTAGACTTGAAATTTCTCATACGTCAATAATTCAAATGAGAATATTACTATGTTTCATTTAGTATTGATCTGTGAACTTTACAATTATTGAATTTTTGAAATTTAGTGTTGCCCAGCAGATCAATTTTAAGAAATGTTTCTGTTTACAGATGTAGTTATTGCCTTTTTTTTTCCCGTTTCCATTATTAGAATCTTTCCTGACAAGTGACACTCGTTAATATGTCTTGTTTTACTTTTACACCATGCTAAGCCTTCAGATAGCTTCATCAGGAACATTATCTTCATGGTTAACAAAATGAATTACTCTGTTGGCTATTTTTAAATGTTTTTGCATGGACTTACAGAAGCTTAACTCTTTGCAATCCATATCCCACCCCATGATTCACATTTCATTATGAAGCTCAAGCCACTGTAGAAATGGGGGTCCACGCAGGGGATCTTTATACAAACATTTAAGCTACTTTAAAGCTGCACTTTAATCCTAAATAAAAATGCCACAGATACAGCACAGGATTCAGAAATCCTTTGCTTAGAGATGGAACAGTTCAATAAATGCTGATTTTGCAGTAGATACACCAGGGACTGTGCCAAGGTGATTCAAAGTCAAAAATCTGAGCTGCTAAAACCTCAGTGGAAGTACTGAACCTACCCCTGGAACTGTACTAGTTTGTACACAATGTACCAGGGAGACTAACAAGATGTGCTTATTCCTAAGATCACCAAGGAATGTGCTGTTTTTTGCTAGGTGTTAACTCATTCTCTCCCTTACAGCTGACCCAAACAAAAGCATGTCACAGAAATACACCCACTCTCTCAAGAGAAGCAAAGGTCTAGGATAAAATTCCATGCTGAGATCCCATTTGACGCACTTGTGCCTGTAAGTCCTTCTATTCCAAGGGGGTCACAATTTAAAAAAAGAACAACCCAACATACAAGAGTCGTGACTGTTCTCAGCAGACACTATTTCACAACAACAATTTCACAAACTCCTTAAACGTAAATTTTCTGCTCAATCTGCTTTCATGTGTATTTGCCAGCTTAGATTACTGGAGGTCTAGTAAGCACAACTTAAATACTTGTAAATGTAGTTCTCTAAAAGCTGACTTTTCACAGAAAATGGCATGGAAAAGAGTTTTTGCCTTCAGATATTTATCTGCGTATATTTTTCTTTTTAGAAGAAATCTGAAAATTAAGCTAGTCTTCTAAATATCATGAACTGACATAAATAGAGTGAATGGGAACAAAAGAATACGAGCGTTCAATAAACTAAAAGACAAGGAGGTGCTAACATCTGTGAATAAATGAAAACCTCTCCAATTAACATCTGGATATTACACAGAGACACCCTTCCCTGGCATGGTTGTTCTCTCAAAAATTCCACCAGAGGAGACCTTCCCTTTAAGTCAGCCTTGGGATTTACTGCTGTGTTACAAAGCAACCATATATGTGTTGTGAAACTCAAGGGATCACGTGTGATAGACCAGCATTTAAAACTGGTCTTCATCTGTTTTATCTGTCAGCTTTTGCTCTCCCTAAGAAATTCAGACAAACTTAACCAAGGATCATCTACCTTTCTGTTTTCAAAATGATTCTTCAACTAGGTAATGAAACAATACAATGGAAAGTAACAAGGTATGCAGCCCCTCTTCCCATTTCATAGAATCATAGAATGGCTTGGGTTAGAAGAGACCTCAAGGATCATCAAGCTCCATCCCCCCCACCGCAAGCAGAGCCACCAACCTCCCCATTTCCCATATGGTATAGTATATGGTATGGTATACTCATATGGTGTAGTACCTCTTAAGTATTACAACCAAAAAAGGCCAAAATATGACCATATATGACCAAAATAAGCAGATCTTCAGCGACTTAAGGGAACAGTCTCCTCTATAGGCTTTACAAAAACTTTAGAAAAGTCTGCATATATAAAAAGAGAAATAGCCTATATTCCATTTGTGTTACATTATATGAGTGGCTGTGTATCAATACCCAGATAACACTTTTAGCTTCATTAGAGATGATAAATACTACAGAAACTTTTATCTCAAAGCTATCTGCAAAGACATGTCTTCATCCAAGAAATTGGGCTGATGTCAAGAGAAGTGTTGCAGCTGAGGAAAGACAGTGGTTCCAGGAATCTGCTGGGTCTCTGCTTGAAACACGTTGCCCCATACTCCATAGAATATGGAGGCACATCTTTTACCATGCAGGTTACACCAAAAATTATTTAGAAAAGCAACAATCTCACTATTGGCTTAGTAGATTCTCTCCTTGGTCAAAAAGGCTTAGGCATCATCACAGCACAAAATCTGAATAGCATTCAGGTTCCCCTGGTTTAACAGCCTTTTAAAAGCACTGCTGTCACAATCTGGTCAAGTGCAAAGTGCCTCTAGGCCAGCCTTATATAACATGGAAACAGCATGAGTTTATAATTATGATTTACAGACATACCAAGGCATTGACATTTTGCCATGTTTGTAGACTACAGTATATTTTTGCAAGCACATAGATGTTTTTTCCATATAAATCTCCAAGTCCACCTGGGCATGGTCCCCCTCACATACAGCCCATCTCCAATTCTGGGGGGAAACTTGTCAGACAGTATTGGATTCTTATACAAGATGACAAGGTTCCTTAGATCATAGAATCATAAAGGCTAGGGAAAAAAAAAAAAAACAAAACAAAGCCAAAACCAACTATGCCAATATCTTACTACTCTTTCTGAGAAGAAATTTTTTCTAACATCCAACCAGAACCTCCCCTGGAGCAACTTGAGGCCATTACCTCTTGTCTTATCACTATTACGATTATGTCAGGAATCACAACTCATTTGCATGACCTCTGCTTTCCTAGCCTTACTTCTAGAAGAGCTGGAAATCTTTTCTGCGTGGCATTTCAGAATAACAATGAATTCTAAATTTCCTATAAATCTTCACTCATCACTCAGAGCTGAATACAGAGACTTCAGTCATCCCAGAATTTGTTGAATTCATCCTTTTCAATACAAATATTTGACATTATATGAAACCAACTCTAAAAAAAAAAAAAAAGAATGTGCATAAAACGAAGTGCTCCATAATTATAACCTCCCTTAATTAAATGCTGAGCACTATTTCTTTGTGGGGTGGAGACAACGGGCAGAAGTAAGCCACCTTCACACCAAAGGGATGGTCACAGAACCTAACAGAGCTACTGTATCACACAAGAGCTTCTGGAACATACAAGAATCATAATACCTGACCACAAAGGTGTGGCCAAGTTGGAGTTAAAAAAATGACACCACAGGCTGCAGCAAAGATGCATAAAGTCTCTATTTGCATACAAGGAAGAGAGAAGATTGCAGCACTGGCACTAGACTGTGTAAACTGAAAGTTGTTGAATACTGGACTGGGGTCAAAACATGACTGGTATCACAAGCAACTTTGAATCGGTCCAAATTATCATAATTCTATTCAGTTTTACTACAGAGGCTACTCAAAACTTTCACACTGTGCTTTTTCAAGAAAACAACTGAATCTAATTCTGGAAGGAAAACAGCCTGTAGCGAAAGGTGAGAAAGGCCCCATAAGTGAAAGTAAAAAGGCAAGAAGGCTTCACAGTGACTGAGAATAAGGGGGACGAAGGGGAATAGTTAGTTTATAGAAGCAAGAACGTAGAGCTTGTTAGAAAAATAAGGGATGGCAGACACTGGGTCTGGGATAGTGAGGGAGATGAAGGCCATAAAGATAAGGGTTTGAGAACAGCCTGAGGACATTTGGCAGGGAGGTGGTAGTTGTCCACAGGGCAAGAAGAAGCCAGTTTGGGGGGGATGCCCCACTGAAAGGTCAGAAGTTTACAGCGAGAAAGATCAGAAGTCTTTGTGAGGAAAACTTCATCCCATGACCCACTACACACGTGCAAGAGGGAAGGGTCTGCATGCTAATGAACTCTCAAGGGTGTAATGAATATGTATCCGAATTCTGGGAAAACTATTGATTATGTGTTAGTTTGGCCTATATCTGTAGCACAATGTTTCCAGACTGTGTGCAAGTTAGGAGGAATGATCCCCCTTGCACCTGGTATCTGCGCAGCACTGATTAAACCATACCTGCTTTGTAATCTTATTTGGGTTACAGAATTTGACTCCGCATGTCAGTAGGATGGTCATTCCTGAAGACAATGTAAAATCAATATTCAGAAAAGAAATTTTGAAATGAAGTAAAACAAACAGCTGCTGTTCAGTGACAGTTAAAGAATGTAGAGAAATTCTTATAGTAGAAACTAGAAGAAAATATACTTCAGTACTCACAAAAATTTGTCTAAAAACTAAAAAAGAGCTGCAGTTAAGCCTGAAATAGAACAAAGCATGCCAGAAAATAAACAACAGCAACAACAACATAAAACAAAAAACAGGGGATAGAGAAAGATAAACAGGTAGTCTGACTTAAAAGTTCAGCCCGCAAATATCTTTAAAAATCAAGAGAGAAGGAGCATAACAGCGAAGAAAAGGTAGGAAGCGAAGAACACTCTCTAGAAACTCATTATGGCTAAAGATCTGACATTGCCCATTTCATTTCTGAGGAATATCCGGAAAGGCCATCAAACTAAAACCCAAACCAATTAACGGGCACTTCCACAGATGCTTAGTGCTGAGATGAAAACACTTCCAAATCGCTTCAGTGTATAGGGATGTTTCAAAGGTCTCAATCAAAATGTGCAAAAAACCTGTGAAAGAGTCTAATAATGCAAACGCTTATCAGTGGAGATGTACCTGCTAAATGTCATACACACTCTTTTGAGGTCATGAATAATAAAAAGACAGAATTATAAAACAAATGTTGACTCAGTTTCAGTGGAAAAAATCCATTTCTAAATGGATACATTTTTCTACCTTTGGAAATATGGTTACATTTACACATATTCTAGGAGAAGGCCTCACTTTTTAGTGTGAAAAAATATTGATCTGTAATGTATTTTTCAAACCTATGACAAAAAAATTCTACAAGAAAACAAGATATATTGATTTTTCTTTTACCATTTGTGATTCTGATTATTTGAAACTTTCCTTTTATAGAACGATTGAATACATAGAATTTTCTGTCTAATTTAGAAGGATGAAAAAGACTGAAATATCACTTTCAATATTGGAAAGCCTTTGGCCATATCATAGACTGCACATGCTTGCCATCAGCAGTGTAAAAGAAGGTACATCTTCTTAGCAGTATCTGCTGTTGATACATGGCAATGGGGTAGTTTTGCTAGCTGCAGATTTGCAGGTTTGAAGGTTTGAGGTTCTCCCTCAGTTGTTTCCTGACTGAACAACTGCGCTCATGTGATCATCTGTCAGACAAAAGCTACCCTATGCCAATTTGCTGCTTTTCTCTGAACCTTTTCCAATTCTTTCACACTTTTTTTGGTAGGGAAGAAAAAAAAAGAAAAAAAAAAAAAAGAGAAAATGGATTAGAAGTAATGAATATGTTCTAAATCTGACTTGCTTTAAAAGTAGCATCAAAATACCAAGGCATCAAATTCCTAGGATCGTAAATCCTTTAAGAAGCATACTGGTTCTCTCTCCAGTATATGTCACCCAAATCAGACAGCATCTCACAGAGCAGAGCTGAACGGACTGGTTTGGGAGCTCATAATGCAACAACATACTTGTTATGACATCATTTATTAGCAACCAGCATCAGACAGGAAAGTACACAGAGTGTATGGGAACTGCTGAATCACGGCCTGAACCGCTGATTGACCACCTGAGGAGGGCAGTGAGTTGGCCAGAAGGGGTGGAGCCTGGCTCCACCTCTCCTAGACCCCAATTAAGAGCTGACTACCACTGGGGAAGGATCTCTTTTGGAGATCACTCCTCTTGGAGTCTTCTCAGTGAGCCCAGGACATTGGTAAGCTTTCCATCCATTCTTCTTTAGCGTGATAACCTGTTTAGCCTAATTTTCTTGTATATTTTTTTAATTATAACATCCGTATATTCATTGATTATACACAGAGAAATGCTATAGATTGCCTCATGATTCAGTGAATGCTGAACAATTCCTCCTTAGCACCCCAAAGGTAGATGATATGTGCCTACAGAATTAACAACAATCCCCTGCAAAGAGATTACTTTAATAAAACCAAGGAGTCAGTTTTCTAAAAGATTCAGGACAAGACAGTATTGTCAGTTCTCAGTGAGATATGAGCTTCTAAATTCTATCAACTTTGCTCCATAATTCTTCAAAGCAACTTGTTGAACAGTGCCATATATCCCAAAGGATGTGCCTACCTTACTGCTCAGCGATTGGGTGCATCTCCAGTTGCCAACAACCACAGTACCACAGAAGAGGCAAAATTGCCTTTCCACTTCCTGCCCTGCACCCTGCTGTTCCATGTGCTCCTTCCAATTTTCACAGCAAAGTTTCCTTTCCATTGGCTGGTGCTGTTGCTGGGATGGGTTTGTTCTGTAAAACAAATTTTAATCAGCCAACACAAAGTAAATGGCAAGATCAAGAGAATGGACAATGTGATTCTAGTCCCTGATGTACCCACAGGAGGCTTTGGCTCTGTTTCAAAACCTCACTCCCCTCTCCCCAACCCTCTGACTTCTCCCCTGCTGTTTGGAAACATTAATTTATAATAAATGTTCTTAGAATTGGTGATCCACCTTCTCTCTCCAAAAATGAATGTGCCTTTTGGGCAGTAATTTGAATTACTCTAAGACGAGTGAGCTTGCACAGCAATTCCTCTCCCAGATTTGGTTCCTCATTCCATATGGACGTTTCCCTTGTCCACACTCCTTGAAACGGAAACTATTTTCAAAGAAAAGGCTCAGCTATTTTAGAAGAAAAAAGGAGAAAAATAAAAGCTCCCAAATGCTACACTGAGATGCAAAACACTATGCATTGCTACACAGAGATGAGGCATTGTGAGGAAATAATCTTGTCTTGTATCTGCATAAGATGACTATTCAAATGTAAGTTGTACTAGTAATTAAGCTAGCAATTTGATTTCTCTGTATTTTGAAGTTCCCTGTAATAAAGGATAAAGCTTTCTTCAGCTCACATTTCCCGAGGCAAAAGCTACATGAAATACAAAAAAAAAAAAAAAAAAGTCCACTGTCTTTAATTAGAAAGAAATTTCTATAAGATAATGATAGTGCAAGAAAGACCAAAAAGCCACTGAGGCAGAGAAAATTAAATCTCTCCTTTAAGACTCATCATTACATCAAGTCTGCCTTTGATGGTAAGTAGCCCTTTTTCTATGTGGCAGCCCACTCATAGATGCGGAGCAACGAATAATAATGTAACGGTGTGAAGGAAAATGGTATTCAAACCATTCAGACTTCACAAACCTGGAGGTAGAAGTGCATTCTGAAATGTCATATGATGACACTGCAATAATCTTTTCCAATAACCCTGTGCAGAATCACACCATGGGATGTGACAGGTGATGTTGATAACAGCACTGTGGCCACGTCAGTGCCCTGTATGCGTGTCTGGGACACACGTTCAACTTTACTACTGGTGCAGAGGGGAAAGTGACAACTGTGTTCACTGGCGTGGGCAGAGACCCCAGTCCCTGGGCACCAGTATCTTTGCAGGGAGAATGATGGGTTGGTGTGACTGGAGGGGTGGCTTCCCCTCATCTTCATTTAACAAACACTGAAATTTTCAGGCTTAAAAGCTTGTATACCATTCAGACACAGAAATTAAAATCTGATTTTATATATACATCACATACCAACATGTCTCCATTAGTATAGATTTTCCAAACAGAAAGCATTAATACTAACTTACAAATCTTAATTAGGAACCTGTATTATGGCACTTGCACTTCAAGATGCGTGTTTACTCCCACAAGTAAACTTTAGAGAAACTCAAGAGAGTTCATTACTCAGATTTTAGTGAACTAGGATGAGCTGGTACAAGTCACAAAATGCACTAAGTATTGCAACATGCAAGGTGTGGCAAATTGGCAAATCTTAACTTAGAAAAGTGAGCAACAAGTCTAAAACTGTAACTACGAACATTAATACTTCAAATGTGTTAGGCTACAAATAAAAAAATCCACACAAGTTTGATTTCTCATTGAACCTGAAGCCCACAAATATCTGTGTTAGATCCACTAGTGACTCTGCTTTCCATGAGCAAGAAATAGAACAGGGAGAGAGGTGGAAAATAAGTGGAAAAAATAAGGGACAAATATTAACACTTAATTAAAGGCTACATTCTGTATTATAAAATGTCTTAATTGTCCAAGTATGTTTTTCATGGGCATGGCTAGTTAGACAGTGTCACAAAAGTTACTTGGAGGTAAAAACAGGGCCAGGGCAGACGTACAATATTTGAGATCAGTCATGACCATGAGAACCCTCCTCCCTTCGAGAAATGAGAGGGAGAGAGCCCCCTCATTAAAATTTGCAGTAGCTTATATACAGTTTCCAATGAAATGGTATGCAGACGAATCCAATCTTATTTTTATAACAGCTTTGACTCTGCAAATCATCTCCCCTCATTTCCATGCAGAGCAGACAGATAAGCAATGAAGGCAATCCTTCTGGAAAAGCGGCAACAGTAAGGGTTGTAAGGTTCCCTAAGCACCATTTTGTTGAAGAGAGGCAATTAAGTAATTCCCTGACTCAGCCTAAATTCAGCATGACTTATTTCTAGAGCCAAGAATGATAAGAAACTGTTAAAAATAATAAAAAGTAAAAAATAAAAGAGCCAACCCATCTTACAAATGGCATTACAGTTGTTAAATGGGCCCCAGGGTATTTTACCAGACTGTGGATTATTTCAAGCAGGGGAATAAAAATAAAGATGACAGAAATAAACAAGTAAAATAAATACAAATAATTTAGGCAACTGTTGCTCAGCAGCACACCAAACACCTCCTCCGCTCCCTCCTACAGGCTCACATTTCAGCAAGGCTGTTTGCTTGCTTTCAACCCAGTATGTGACTTGCAGCTGAAATCTGGCCCTGCCTCATATTGACAAATTTACTCATTCAAAGACCCCTTTCAGATTTGTATTAATTAACACTGGCTAATTCTTAGTTGCTGGGTTTGAGTCATGTCCTGCCAGCACCTCTGCTCTGGGAAATGGGTTAGCAGAGCTTACTTCCTGGAGCTGCAGTTTCTATCTCCCTGCTCAGCAGTTGGGAGTGCTCCCTTGGAGTGAGATTAATTGTATCACACATCCCATGGGGGAAAAACAAAACAAAAACAAACGACAACAAAAAACCACAAACCAAAACAACAACTAAAAAAAGGGACATTAAAAACATCTGTCTTTTTCATTCTGCCACTTCCTTCCACTCCCTCTTTTCCCTTATCTTTCCTTTCTGATTTCTGTATTAGCATGAGATACTGGCTTCTAGCTGAACTGGGAAGCAGTTCTGGCTCTTTTCTCCATTATAAGCAATGAACTATTGCCATTGACTTTTTAAAAGTGCTTCTGAATAGGTTTCATCCATCTCTTAATCACTGCTTTCCTCCTGTAAATGCCCACCAACAGTGACCTGAGAATGGGACATTCAGCAGCTACCTTCGCTTCTTCTGCCATATGCTCCTCTCTTTGCAGCCAAACGCCCCGCTCCTGCTGTCACACCATGCAAAGCACACGTCATCTTTTTTTCAGTTCCCAGGGGCCTTCTGCTGGAAGACGCTTTTTTCCTGCAGTTGGAGCAAATTCATCTTTTTGTTTATTCTTTGTTTAAAAACCAAAATGCTTACCTCCCAACCTGCTAAAGGAGAGATACAAATTTCTAACCAAGCAGAGTGCAAATTGGCAGCAAAACATCTCCCTGCCAGGGCTCATGTAGGGCAGATATCTGCTTTACAGTTCAGAGAACTCTTTTAGTTTCACAAGTATGAAAAGATCTATAAAAAGAAGAGCGGGTAATTTAATCACTTGAGGAGAATTGACAGGTCATAATCAAAGGAAATTAAGCACCGATGGAAGATAAAAACCTCAAATACTGTCTCAGTATGATCATATTGTTCAGGTCTGTGTCTATGTATTCTGTAGCAGTTACATGAATTTCAGCACTGATTATGCATTCTGTGACAGAATAAAAGAGCAGACTCATTTTCCTATGTAGATAGTTTCTCTCTGGAGGAAGCAACAACTCCAGAAGTTTTTGCAATGAAGGAAACATAAGTATCTCTTGCTTTTAATGGTGTAATCAGTGTTTGAACACACTGAACACTAGCAAGGATGAAAGTCAGCTTTAAAAATGATTCCCAGGCTATCAGGTCTGTAATTCCAGTGTCTTCTCTTGTGCTCTTTCTGTAAATGAGGAAAACACTGTCTGATTTCTTGCCAATGGGGACCTCCCCAGACTCCCAAGACCTTTGGCATGTAATTGAGAGGGGTCCTGCTGTAATATCTACTAACTTGCTCTTGCTGTTGACATACTTAAAATAGCCTTCTTTTGTTGTCTGGCTCCACTCTGGGCAGTGTCAGTTCAAGTTGAGCTTTGGTTTTCCTTGTGTTCTCCCTAAAGATGTGAACTGCAGCTCTGTAATCTGTGAATCTGAAAATGTGAATCTGACCACATTTCCAGAGATCGTATTTCTTCTTCCTGCCCACGTTCCAGCAGTTCCCTGCTCAGACAAGCTGGTCTTCTTCCCCACTTACTTGACTTGGAACACAATGGGAACACCTGCTCCTGGGCTTTTAAAAGGTGGGTTTTACAGTGACCAGTTCTCATAGCCCCACTAAATCCTCTAGAGCAGATTCTCAGGGGATGCTGCTAACTAGCTCCCCGAGTAGCTTAAAGTTTGCTCTCTTAAAATAAAAGGTAGCAATTCTGATGACCATTTTTTCTCATTACAGCAAGAATTTTGAAAATAAGAATGTCGTAACCACTGCTATGATCTAGCATCATCCTTCCAACAAGGCCTTCTCTACTCTCAAGCAACAGATCCAGGAGTTGCTTATCCCAGTTGGCTCACTGAGTTCTTGTAACATAAAGTTATCTTCAGCATGTTCCACACTTGCAGCAGCGTATGCCATTTATGTCATGGAAGTTGAAATCTGCCTTAAGGATAAGGGCAACTAATTCAGAGATTTCTCCTAGTTGCCTGTAGAATAGCTCAAAAACTCAAAAATTTGAGTTTGCTTACCTGTCAAACTGATGGTAGTTAAAAGTTCTCCTAGTTCAGTGTGCTTTTGAATACTTCAGAATACTAAAGATTCATTATTATTTCACTGGTAACCTGACCACATGGTGCCTCATCTCCAAGATGAAGCTGTCACTCTTGGTATGAGAAATGTTAAACAGAGATGGCAGAAGCGGCTAAAAATCATGGTCCTGAAACTGAGAAACAAAAGAAGAGCCTATAGAGATGAGGAAGCAGACTCGGTATCAATAGAGATATTACACTACGTTGGACTATTATCTGAATGAATCATTCATGATGGTTCTTTTTGTCTTACATTACCCTATTTAGAACATTGATAATTGGGACACAGTCTTATATAAAAACTGAACTTTTTAGACCACTTGCAGTTCCTGCATGGCAGCTTGTAACAGTGGCCAGGGAAGTCTACGTGGTCTGATGCATCTTCAGAGGCTCATGGTCTTGGGAAGCAACAGAGTAGACCAAAGAGTGGGCACAATTACATATTTGGGAAACTGAGACTGGTAAGGAATGTCTCATGTCAACGTGAGGCAATCAGTACTGCTTTGCGGACATTTGAAAGCATTTCTTTGCAGTTGACTGCCTTCGAATGGGAGGGCCCAGGAGTGTTTATTAGCTGAACACTTGGCCTGTGAGCAAGTGATTCCAGCTTGATACAGGAAATTGGGAGATTAAACCAATTTATCCTGTGAAGGTAAGATACAAGCTGGTGTCTGCTTCCTTTTATCTGTCGACTGAAATTAGCATGGCCTGGAAAACAGAGGAGAGGAACAAAGGAACAGAGGAGATCCCAAAGCCAGAAGCTGTCACTTATTTTACGCTTCGTAATAGCCACTGCCCAAGACTGTCTTACCTGTAAAGCTTATTAATCATAATTAGCAAATTAGCCAATTTTACCTCTAACTAGAGTATTAGTTCTTGTTAAGAAAGCTCTCAATAAATTGATGTCTTTTATTCCTCTGAGTCTTGGATGACTCCATTATGATAGCAACATCTAACAGCTAGGGAAGGAACTACTCAGGAAAGAGGAAGAGATTCACTTCCCTTGAAACCTACTGTGTGGTAAAACAGGAAAGTATTCACTTGCATGTCAAAGCAGAAATCTGTCCTGGTCTCCAGTTTTCTTGTTCCAGTAAAACTGTGAAATTGCTTAAAGAAATGAATGACAGAAACAAAGGGATGGGAGGCAGGGTGAGGGGACTGCGTTCTGTTCAAGGTGCAATCAAAGCACCTGTCAGGCAACGTACATGTCTGATAAAATTGATTGCAACACCCAGTGGGTAAGATTGCAAGGTATTTCTTACCTGAATAACTGTGAAGGCACTGCACCCACTCTGGGGACGTGTAGTTACGTAGCTAACATGAAATGACAATTCAAATTAAATGAATTGGATGCTGGCAAATAAAATGGGCTGCTTGCGCATTTCTAACATGAATAGCTAGAAAATGATAACTTCCCAGCATATCCTGAAGGCTAGAGCAGAGGCCAGCTCTGTTCTGACACAGCATGTAAAACCAAAAAGGTTGATCCAAGCTTACCAGCTACTTTCCTCAGAGAAAAAAAGAGCTTGCAGAACCAGATGCTTAGCTGATCAAGATCCATACAGAAGCTTCAGTACAAACAAGAAGCTGTTGGCCATCCTGCATGCAACGACCACCCTGATTCCTAGCTCTTAGCCTTCCTGAGTGCAGTATGTAACTGTTGCAAGTTATTAGAGATAACAGCATGACAGGGTAACAAATCACACTGGAACCAAATGCCATTTCATGCTTAATCACCAACTAAGTATCACCAGGATGGAGAAGAGATTCTGAAGAGCAGAAATGCTACAGTCCTACCTCATGAACAACTATGCTGCGAGTCTGCCCTCCTCACACAGAGCTCAGGCCCAGTGCAATGAGCCAATGACAGAAAATAAATGTGAAAATCCTCTTGACATAGATTTTTCCTCTGCAGACAGATTTGCCTCTTGCCAGAACCACCTTTTTTTTTTTTTTTTTTTTCCTGCAAAAACTCCTCAGGAACTGTTGAAGAGGTATAAAAGGAATTGGACAGTAGGCACTGAATGGATCTGGTCATCCACTACAACTCTTCCTCTTTCCTCTATTGCTTTAAACTATTCTTCATGCAGCCTGTCATGCACTTCTTTCTATCCAAAGGCTTAAAACCCACTAGGTGCTATTAGGAGAGAGCTACAGAGACACAAAGGGAGCTGTGGATAAGGTTTAATAGGCCACATCTCCATGGCAAAATGCATTACATGCCTGATTATAGAAGAAGGCAGGTAAAAAAAAAAAAAAAAAAAAAAGGTCTTTTAACTAACAGTACTCACAATAGCTCTTGCCAGTCTGGCATGGGGCAAAATTAACACCATACCTCATTTGGTGTTTAGTTAATGGTGAGCACAGACACACGTCAGAATTTTTCTGAAATGCATCAGAAGGAGTCTTCTGTCCATGTGAATTCTGGGCTTTCTTGAGAATAATGATTTTTAGAAACTAAAGTCCAGATGTCTCTCAGATTTTGTTAGTTTTGAATTAAAGAGTTCTAACATGTTCCAAGTTCACCTTCCTTAACCTACCCTCTCAGAAGTACCTGTGACATGTGAAGGCAGCCAAGCACCCAGTGCAAATGGGGACATGAATGGAAAGGGAGAGGACTGGATAGAACTATCACTGCTTTCAACACATCTTGCAGTGGCAAAGCAACAGCAAGACAGCTTGGAGGCACAGAATCCCTCCTCTCCTAATCATCTTCAAATACTCTGTCACTTTCTTGTCTGTTCCTTTTGATTTAATTCTCTTTTCTGGCATGTTTTATTGTAACTGTATGCTTCTATCAGTTACACAAGGACAGATTAATATCAAAATCTGATGTCAAGAGCTCCCTAATCCAAATGGTCTCCCTTATGTATCTTCTAATAGGTTACTCAGAGCAGTATTTTATCCCACAAAAAGCAAGTGCTGCTGCTTTTCCTATGTGTGGCCTATGGATTGATCCTTTGAATAGCCACGTGTGCAGGAAGTACCAGCTCTCATAGCCTGACAGCCTTCCTATGATTCACTGTAGTAAAAGGCCATTTCTGGAAGTCCTGGCTGACAACTTGATGAGAATAGGAAATTCTGGAAACAATTAGTCAATGAGCCAAAGGGTGCCATAACCATAACTAATAAAAAAGCTCTGCCCTTTTTTGGCAATTGCACTCAAAGACTCTTCAAGTACCGAATATATCATAATTAATTGTATCTCATGCCTTCTCACCTTCCCTCACAAGGAGGCAATTACTTTTGTTTCACAGACAACCTGTGGTACCTAGGAGCGAAGGACTATGCTCAGTAGATGTGTCTAATAGACTGTGACAAGGTACTTTTCAGGGCCAGTTCTTTTCAACGTTTTTATGAATGATTTGGATGCAGGATTTGAATGCATACTGAGTAAATTTGCACATTGTACTAAATTAAGAGGAGCTGTTGGCTCCCTTGAGGGTAAAGAGGCCTTACAGAGAGATCTTCACAAATTAGAGGGCTGTGCAATCACCAACTGCGTGAAGTTTAACAAGAGCAAGTGCTGGATTCTGCATCAGAGAGTGGGCAACCCTGGCTATGTGTAAGACTGAGGAAGGAGAGGCTGGAGAACAGCTTTGTAGAACAGAGTTTGGGGGTTCTGGCTAACAGCAAGTTGAATGCAAATCAGCAGTTTGTTAATTTCCAGTTCTGACTTTTTTTAGCTCACTAATTGGATCTGGTTGAGATAGCAGAGTCACTATGGATTGGGGTCACTGATTTTTCACAAATGTGTTTCAAAGCTCTGACCTTAATTTCTGTTAGCAGTTGTCAGCATCAATAGTTCACATTTGCCCAAGCAGAAACAGTACTTAGGTACCCATTTTAAACATGGGACATGTTGCTTAACAGAAAGGCCTTGACCTTTTAAGGATGTTATATAGCTTACCATTTAATAAGATATGCCTCTAATTTTTCCTTTGAACATCCATTTCTGCCCGTGCTTTAAGAATAATTATCAATATACAACTCCTAGCAACATTCCCCTTGTGGTTTTGAAATACAATGTTTATGTACTTACAGAATCACAGAATCAAGAATCACAAGGTTGGAAACGACCTGCAAGATCATCTAGTCCAACCACCCTCCCATTCCTATCAGTACCACAAGCACTAAACCGTATCTCGTAGCTCCTCATCCAGGTGCCTCTTGAACACCACCAGGGACGGCGACTCCACCACCTCCCTGGGCAGCCATTCCAGTGCCTGACCACCCTTTGAGAGAAAAAGTTTCTCCTAATATCCAACCTAAACCTCCTCTGGTATAACTTCTTGCCGTTTACCATTACGTTTACCATTATGCCTTCTCTAGTTCAGGTCTGCAGCTCAGGGGATGTGATGGTAGCATGAAGCATTACTGGGATTCAAGTTTAGGTCTATCAGTTTGGCTAGCAGATGTGAGCACGTGACTGGAGTCAGAAAGATGACCTCTTCCAGACCTGTTCTTGTGAAGATGTAGCATGCAGTGGAGAGCATAGCCAAAACATGCCCTCTGCTCCTCTGAATGCTGTTCATCACAGATTGCCAAGTACAGTTTAAACAATGTTTTTTTCCTTTCACCTGAGAAACTAGGGAAGTCTCTTCGAGATATGAAACCCCAAAATCTTGGGATTCAACCCACAGAAAAACATGTGTGACACATCTCCATTTCCCCTTGACACTGATGATATTTACTCTCCATACTGAGATCAGTCACTGTGCACGATACGTGAAGGGGCAAGGAAAGCCTGAAAGACTCTTGAAAAACGATTTTACCAGCAGCAGGAGCTTAAGGAATTGCTGGCAGTCATCTAAATGTCCCCTCCGCATCACTGTATCTAGAACTTGTAATTTTTTTTACCATTAAGACTCATTGCTGGTAAGAAAATAAGACAAATATTAATGACAAAAGTCCTCAAATGAAGTTTTCTCTCAAAGCTTTTTTTGTTGGTTTGTTTTTAACCTTCTGAATTACGTTAATATTTCTGGGGTGGGGGAAGCGGGGAAGATAAAAAAAAAGCCTGAAATAAAGGAATAATAAGATAATAATATGACTACAAAACGAGAAAAATTACTAGCCTTATTGCATTTTCCAGGAACTTCAGAATACAGAGATCCATCTGACAATAATTATCAAAGCTACGTAAACTATAACAGAAAACAGTACTGCCAATGGACATCCCATACTTCCAACAAGACTGAAAGGTTAGAGGATAAACATGATAAATGCATCTATACGTGGGAGTACAAAACTTACCCCTAATGACAACAGGCATATCCTGAAGCATTCCTCTCTTTAGAAGTTGTATCTGCCCTTTAATGAAAAAGAAGGGAAAGAATTAATTTCACAAATGATTAATAGTTCAATGCAGTAGCCTATTAATGGATGTGTAATTGACTAATAATTGCACACCTCTCTATGCCTCTACTTAAATTAAATCTGCCACCCAATCCATCAAGTTTGTTTACCAAACATGGTGTAGACTGAACAGTTATCTAAATGCTCCTCCAGCAGGAAAAGGGGATCAGCAGACTTTGGTCTTTCAGAATATCAGAAGCACTAGAGCCTAAATGCCTCAGTTACTCCTTTTATTCACCGTGAACTGCAAGTGAGTCAGCTGATTTAATTCTGCACAGCTGGCATTTTTTAGGTATAGGTCAACCAAAGGGGCAAAGGAAGCTGACCTTATGTACTGTCCTGGCCATCCCATCCCATCATTCAGCAGTGTTTGTGGAGGTTTTCTAGGAACTGGTTCTGCACATGTTCTCAAGAGACAAACCCAATTTAAAATGGGAAAGTTTCACAAGGTTCAAGTCTTTGCTTTCTCCTGACTTCATGGTTCAGCGAAGGGGATGGTGGAATGGTACAGATGGAAAGGAATTGAGTTGTGAAGTAGGAAATCTGTAGCGTGCTTCTTGATCTTCTGCTAAACTGCTTACCTAACCTGCTAAATCCATTTTTGCTCTTATCCAGCTCCTAATGTTAGAGTCTAGGATCCTCAGCACAGAACATCAAACCAGACAGCATCTAGCAAAGTATGGCCCTTCTCAGTTTGGTCTTTTTGCAAAATTAAGCATGCACCTGCTACAAAAGGGTGTATATCTACAAGAAAATAGATGTAGAAATATTTGTCTCCTTGTTTGTTCCTGTGTTTATCCTTGCAGTTTTGGAGCAAACCGTGACCATACAGACATACTGTGCTCTGATCAACCCTATGTTCATTTAACAGAAACAAGAACATTAAAGCAGATTGAGATTTTCAGTTCAGAATGTTGTTCTGACACTGCTCCACATACAACTGGTGAACCTCAACCTATCTTTCTCTGAGCAAGATTTAAGCAGGTATATATAACTGCAGTTTGCCATTGTTCTGCCCCGTCCCTGGAGGTGTTTCAGGCCAGGTTGGTTGGGCCCTGAGCAATGTGAGCTAGTACTTGATCTAGGGGTTTACAACTTCATGGTTGCAACTTCATGATCCTTGAAGACCCTTCCAACCCAAGCTGTTCTATGATTCTATGAACCCAAGGCTTTGAGGCACTAAAAAAACACTGAGCACTACTGCAGGTAGCCTTAATTTGAAGGTCTGGCACATTGGCTTTGCTAGGTAAGGCTGAGCAAATTTCACTGCACGCAAGCTCATACTAAGATCTGGCTCCAGAAAGTTTTAGCCCAGAAAAGACAGCCCCAAACCAGCTCCATGGGTAAATGTCCTACAAAATACAGATAATTAAGGACATCACTTCCATAACTGAAATGAGTAGTACTAGATGAAAACCAGCTAATCTTTTTCAGTGCTTTAATGAAACAATTCATCATATACCTCAGGGTTGTCTCCTATTGCTTTAGAATAAGGAGAGAAAGCAGGAATACTTACACTGTCAGCCCTTCCTGTTATTCAATTGTACTCTCAATACAGGATTGCCTCAAGCAATAAATACACGTGCTACAAGTACAAGTGGACCTTTTGTAGCTTACAGACCCATCCTAGTACAGCTTGCAGGTTTAACAGGAGGCATTTCCTGAAAGTAGAATTTAACCACCCTGGAGAACAGAATTTTTTTTTCCACCCCTCCAGTCTATCAGTCTTGTTTCTTAAGGTAGTTTAATCTTCCCCTCTCTCAAAAAGTACTAAATCTTCTCGGTAGCAGAAGAGAACATCTGAAGAGAAAGAAAGTGAATTTCAGTGGAAATTCAAAGGCAGTGCTGATTGTTTGCTAGGAGAATACCTGTGTGTACTTCTAGCTAGATACCTCAGCCAGAAACAGAAGATTTGCTGGCTTTAGTAGGAGCTTGCTAGCAGCTGTGAAGCTGTGAAGATAATTCAGGCAAGCTTGTTCTCTGACCCACTTGTTTTTACTTTCTTCATTATCTTAGAACTTGCACTTCTGAGCAGTATTACCTTTAGGAGGTTTAAGGGCTGTGGGCCTTGGCAGATTGTCAAAGGTAGCTGAAATTTTTCTGAATTTTCATGCTTTTGAGGTTTATTCACTCAAATGAACTTTAAAAATATGAAAAGGGCTGCCAAAGTCTAGCACTAGGAATGAGGTAGGAAAGGATGTGTGGTGCTGTCTGTTTCTTTTTGGAAATAGCTGACTTTCCAGAGCAATGCCAGCTATGGTGGGATGGATCCATTTGGAGCTGCAAGCCCTGCATATCTCAGCCATGGGAATCACTCTTCTGAAGATCAAGGGGCAATGCACAGGGGCAATAACATTCAAAGCCCCAGATAGCCAGGATGAAGATGTTATAATTTCCAAATAAGTGTCTAACTTTTTACAATATCCTGATATGGTATGTCACTTAATTAAGCTAATCACAAAATCCCAAATATATACCTGTTAATATGCAAAAATCCCTATTTCTACTCAGTCAATGTAAAACAAACATTTCTCTTTACTACCCCAATGCAAACAGAAAAGATTCTTGCAAAGAAATTAATCCAACAATTCACTGTATGTTACATTTGTGTACATAAGTAAGACCCTGGACCCATGTAACCAGTTGAAATCGAAGTATTTATTGGTTGCTTTATCTCAATACTGCAGCTTCTAATAACTGGTCTTATCAAACTCATGTGGCACTGCATGTGGGCCTGACTGTTACATGACAGCCTAACACTGGAGGCAGCTTTTACTACATTTCCCCACTGCATCGCGTTATTTATTAGAGACTGCACAGCAAGAGTCAATAACCACCAGGATGGCTTCTTTTAACTGGTTTTCCATGTATCTTTTTTTTTTCCCTAGGATACATGGTTTCTGTAACTTCACTTCCTGTCAGTTTCCCTTTACTTGTAACCTTGGAATCAGTTAGCAAAAGTCAACCAGATTTAATGGAGAAGTAGAACATAAAGTCTGTATTGAGTTCTGCAGAAAACAGGTGACAAGACAGAGGAAAACATGTTTCCCAGAAAGAAAAGTAGTGTGAACTCAACCATGTATCAGCAGCAGAAAAATCAGATAGGCCTTAGTTAAGACAATATGCAGTAAGGCAGGTGTTGTTGGGTCCACAACTCCTGGGAATATTTGCAGCTTTTTCTCAGTTCAGTATACTCAGAGTTACGCACAGCAGGCAATTGAATTCCTGTCTTAATGGGACTTAGCAAGTGTGACTGGTACCCCTCTGCTCCTGATCCCTGGCAATATGGTTAGCATAACCAGAAAGAAGGTGAAATGCACAGTAAGTAAGCAGGCTGTTATTGTCTCCCTCTGTCCCCTTCTCTCTTTCTCCCCTCTCCAGGGGTTTTGCACCAGGGTTTGGAGATACCCACTGACAGAGTGACAAGGCCATTAGCATTATTGAGAACCAGGTGCTGGATCACCAAGGTGGCATCTGTTCGTCACATTAGCATTACTAAATCCTAAGCATTCAAGAGTGAGTCTACCCTGTATTCAACCATTAGACATAGATTTAGACATACCAGTATGGCTCTCCAACTTGAGAAATCTGAAATTTAGTGATATGATTCACCTCAATTTGGCAAACAAATCCATGTTGAATTACTGGAATTTCTCAGAGGATAGAAATTCAGAATTTCATTCATCTCTAATGAATAATTAATTGCTAAACTAATTAAACATTAAAATCCATAATGAGATGGAAGAGACTGACACATGTAACTACCATGAAATGTTTTGTGATCACAGCTGCCTGTCACCATGATTGGCAGCTGCTGTTTGCAACTTCTGTGACTCAAAAAAAAGTCATGGTGTCTCTTTTTGCCTTGTCCTCTGACTCTCGTTTGCTGCTTATGCAATTCTAGAACCTACTGGGAAGAGGTCGTATAAGTGTTAGTTATGATACAGGTTGTTAATATGTGACAAAAATTTAGAACTCTGGGTCAAAAGCTCACCGAAGGCTATAATCAATAGGTCCTCTTCAGCACTATTAACCTTTGAGTGAAAGCCCAGCTACAGTAAATTGAACTTCGCTCAATGAGCAATGAAGAGCAAACATCACATTCCTATGGAACAGGCTGGACAAGTCTGTTTTGAGTGAATTCCATTTTTGAGAGCACAACTAGAGGTTCCATTAGCCCATGAGTGACCAACAAACACAGCTAAAAAGCTCAGGAGAAGCTGAGATGAGTAGCTGTGTTGCTATGGGTTAACTAAAGCTTCCAGCATCAATGAAAATGGTAAAAAATATGATGGATAACTAGCAAAGTTTGATCAGATTTCAAATGCATCTCCCAGGAGTAAGCCACACTGAAAAGGCAGCAGACAAAATGTCATTTATAGCTGCCTGGCCAAAAGAATTTGGTAGTTAGTTATAGTATGTATATTTGCAAAGCTTCTGCAGGAAAAAACAACATGGATACAGTTTTGTAGACACAACTTACTTCAAAAGCCAAACTCAAATGATGTATTTTACTGTACAACAGACAGCAGCAAAAAAGGGCTTAATGCCTATTTTTGATAGATCTTAGCATCAGAGTTCCAAGATAACTATTTTGGTGAAGCAATAATTCTAGATCAAATAGCACTTGGATATACAACAGAAAGTTGGTACTTGCTACTCCTTCAGCTTTACAGAACTTACACTCTGGGGACAGACTCAGTTTTCTGAGAATTTCCTTGTAAATCTTCTAATTAGACTCTAAGTTAAAGTACTTTTCATATAAGGTATGGTTTGCCTTTATTTTGATTCCAATTACCTTAACAGTAAAACACACTTTAATCTTTTCATTCTTTAAAAATTCAGTAAAACTCAACAGACAGGATGAATTTGGGAGAAAAGTCTGTTGTAATGAAAAAAAAAACAATTTAGATTCAGTGAGGAGAAACCCGCCCAAGAGCTCAGGACATTCTTAGATTGCCCCACTGTGGCATCAAAGATTATGCAACTAATTACCGCCCTTGATGTGTAATGCATTTATATGCCATCCCATTTAATTTCCAGTATCTGTAAATATCTTCTAAAAGGCTGAGTAAAATATGAGTGTATTTGTGTAT